GGGCACCGCTGCCGGGGGACCGAGGGCGTACCGGGGCTCGACAGGCCAGCAGCTCCCGTGAACAGCTGGAGCCGAGCCCTGCGCAGAGGGGCATCCCGGGCGGCCTTGTGCAGGCTCTGCCAGAAATCGGGAGCAGAAACCGGACAAACCCACGGGCTGGAAGTGGGTGACGCAGGGGCTCGGCCGCCGCGGGAAGCCCGGGTACCTCCTGCGCGTGGTGTGTTTGCGGTGGACCCGGGCGGCTGCACGGCGGGTGCTGGTCACACCACTGCCAGAAGTGAAGGGAATAACCCAGTAGCTACCTGGGCACTCAGGGTGTTCGGTCACAGCTCCCGCTCTTACCGGACGGGAGAGCGAACCCTCCCGTAAGAGCTAAGCTGCAGAGTCACCACTGAAGCCACTTGACATGCCGGATCAGCGGGGGGCTGCTAGAGACCCCATCGCTTCAACGTGGGGAGGAGCAGCCCTTTCCAAACAAGCGAGCGCTCGCACACGTTCGAACCCAAGCCGTCCCGCAGTCTGATCCAGCACGCTGCCAACTGCAATTCACTTACATAATTAAGTATTCCGTGATCAGCGATTTCCCACTGTTTGCAAGATGAGTTACCTCCAAAGGTTTAATAGGAGTCACATCCTTCCCACCCGGCCCCTCCCAAAGCACGGCTTAGCACATCTCTGAAAACAGACACTCGGTTTCTTTCCTTTGTATTTTGTTTTCTCAGCCTTTGCGGCTCCCGCTTGCAGGCACGCTTCCCCCGCGGTGAGTGGGGTACAAGCCTCTGTCTCAAGAAACCTTGAACTCTCACAGCGGGTTCTGTCCAGGAGCTGACACAGCAGATAGGGCTGTGGCAGGAGTTGGTGGCTTCACAAAGAAGGTTTATTTTTAGCGCTCTGCTAGATCAGTTTAAGGGCACTGTACGAAACGCTTCCTGTCTACGACTGAGCAGATAAGGAGAAAAACACCAGCATCCATGGAGAGCTCCGCAGCGAAGGCACTGCCACAGATACCGAGCGGGGACCCACGGGCAGGCGGCTTCCCGTCAGTCCCCAAAGGTTTATCAGCAGAAACGCATCACGAGATGTTTGCACCGATGTTTACAATAACCTTTTGTCCTAGAGAGTTTGTTAATGGACTTCAAAGAAGTTTATCTTTTAGGATCCTAGAGAGGAAGCAATACGAAGTCTCGCATATCCCACTGCAACCAAGACAAAGTATTTTCCGACTGACGTCTAAGACTGGCCCTGATGTTAAATGTTACCCCCTGAGGGAGCCGGTCCTGCAGGAGACACCCCGCCAAGGACAAGGACACCCTTGCTCTTGGTTGCTCAGTGTGTCCTGGTCAGGAGACCATCACTGCAGGGCTGGTAGATTTGGGGATGTCCAGGGAGAGGCGGAACAGTTCTCACAGCTCTCCCCACCACATCCTCCCAAGGATCTTCTGTCCTGATCTCAAGAGGGCACTGATCTGATGTGACGGGGGGTAATTACCAAATTAGGAGGAATGCGGTGGAAGGGGAGAGCCAGCAGGACCTGGCAGCCTCTTCCCGGCTGTCGGAGCCCGCCTGCCAGGAACAGCTGAGCAGCGGGGGTTGCAACACCGCGCCACAGATGCATGCCCTCCAGATCTCGCCATGGGGAGGGGAAAAGTGAATCATGAGCAAGTTGTGCAACTGTATTTAAGTTTGGGGAGGTTTGCTTGAGGAGAGTGGTGACATGCTGGGCTCGCTGGTTACTCAAATCCTCTCACAAAACAGGGCCCAGCCCTTGGTGTGCACAGGGATGGAAAAGATCTTTGTCACCCAGGAGGCGTCAGCAGCCCCACCGCCGCCGCGAACAAGCAGCTTTGTTTTCTCCAACTCCATCTCCCCCAGCCAAGGCAGGGATGGGGGCTCCGCTGCTCGGCCACAGGCACAGGTCGGGCCACCTGAGGAGGTTCTGGTCCCACCATTTCTGGTTCTTCACCTTGAGGGATGAGCTCCCAGCACAGACCCTCCCAGCTCTCGGCTACCTGCAGCTCCCACCACTTCAGGAACGGCTGGAACCCAAAACTTGTGTAAGGACAAGAGCCCTGACGGAGCTGGCGGTAACAGCCCCAGGTGCTCAGCACGTTGTCTGAGGAGGAACAGAAAAGGGGTTGAAGTTGCTCCACCTGCTGCCGTACGGCACCGTCCTCTTAGCAGCGGTGACCACAGCGTGGTCCGTGCTGCGAGCACCCCGGGCACCAGACCAGGAGCTCTGAACTCCAGCCACCCCTCCGGCTGTAGGCACATGCAGCGCCCAGCTGCCTTTTCGATTTCGCTGCTGTTGTCATCGAGGCAGGGGAACTCACATAAAACATACCAAGCTATACCCAGGAGCTGGGTGGATTTTTTGAGACACCCCTGGAGAACCCCATGTAAGAAGCTTCGTCAGAAAGATGAATTCCTGAGGAGGGGAAGTAAAAGCGATGCAAGCAGGGTCCCCCACACTGCTTTTCTCTTTTGCAGATACTTGCATATGTGGTGCTGGGTCTCACCAGGCTTCCCAGCCGCCCTCCTGCCTCCAGCTGGCCCGCACAGCCAGACCGAGCAGCCTCCGATAAGGCCATTTTGCCAGTGGCAGGACGGGCCGGTGTTTTGATTGGGCGGGGCCCCTCCCCACCGCTGCGGCGGGGTCGGGCTTTCACCACCTTGGATCACACATTCCTGCCTCTTGCCCCATCTGTCTCCCAGGCAGGGCAGTAGTGGACAGCCAGAGAATAAGAGGAACAAGAAAGGCAGCTCCACGTCCCTGAAATGGGGACCCTCTCCCCTGTTTTCTGTCCCAGCTGGCACCACCCCGTCGAGAGCAGAAGGACTTGGTCAGCACTTCCAGGCACAGGGAGGATGCAAAGGTCACGCAGAGCCCAGCGCCTTCGGCAGAGGGCTTGGTGTGCCGGGCACTTCTCTTATTTCTGCACAGTCACCTCGGCTCAGCTTCTGGCGAGGCAGTGCCAGCACGGGCAGCTCAGCAGGGCTCTGCCCAGCGGCGGGCAGCACGCTTGGACGCGTCCGAGGAGCTTTCTGCCCTCGCTGCTGCCCAGTCCGGCTCTGCGCAATGCGACGGGGCAGACCTCGGCCGTGCACTCACAGGGGCTCCTTCCCCAGGTTTAATGCTTAAGGACCTTGGTCTTCCCGTGCCTCTGCCCCCTCCAGGACAGCCGCCCCCCTCCAAGAGGTTCAGCCCCTCTGTCTGCTGCCAAAAGTTTCTGCCCTCCGGTCGTAGCATCGCTTGCTTATGCTGGGTCATGATCCCACGCTGCCGGCGAGCGGGGGAAGAAGCTCCGCATTGTTGTCGTCAGTGCTTTGCAGAGCCAGTCACTGCCTTGTTTTCTAAGGTTTCTCACCAGGGAGCGGAGCAGCGATTAGAACAAGGGACTGAGAAGCGGCGATTGCCGGCTCGCCGCCACCGCTGAATGGTGCTTTTACCTCCGA